GGTTTGAAGCGCCAGTGGCCTGGGCCTGCCCACATCGACATAGTCCTGGGGCTGAAGTAGGAGTATTCGCCAGGCTGGGAGGACAGCTGCAGGCACATGGTGCCAATATCCCCCTCTCCAATGGGAATGACGTCCCTGCACAGTCCCAAAATCAGAACATCGGCATAAGGGTCTCTACAGTTTACTAATGTGCTACTGCACTTGTCCTGTCCTGTTGCTTGGCATGGAGTTCAAGCACTTTCATGCAATGCTTATGTCATGGGACACTATTACAGTAGTTCTGGAAAGACATAAATTAAACAATTGCTGTTGAACAATAATTTATATTTGTGTAATAGCAGTGATTCTTGGTAACACCACACAATGTACAGTGGGGATATCAGGGAACTTCTCTTAGGACACCCAGTGCTGGGAAGGGAACATATTTTCAAAAAGGGCAATGTGATGGAAGAAAGCTGGTCCGAGCCAACTATCCTTACCGGCCTCGGCCTTTATCCATCATACAGCCACTGCGGTGCTCCCCCTGCCTGTCGCCGTCCCCGCACTCCTCCGGCCCATCCTCGTAAGCATCCGCGTCAAAATCGTCCCCGCCGTCCGCCGGCTCACACTCGGGCTCGGGCTCCGCGTTGATGTCGAACACGTGGTTGCTGCTCTTGTACTTCTCCAGCATCTGAGTGATGTTCTGCAGGGGCAAAGGGAAGGCAGAGCTAACTGGGACGACACGCACAAGACTCTACCGCTTTGATTACCGGAAACATGGTCACTACTGATCCTTGTGCAAAAATAAATGAATCCGATTTGAACTTTTAAGCTTCAGCTTTTAACTTCAGAGTTTGGAAACTTCAACCTGAAAATACAAAATGTTCAACCTTAATATTCAACGTTCTGTGGACGATTTATATATATATTACATGGAAAGTGTCCAGCCACACTTTTTATTACTGTAAATACTCCTCATGTTGTAAAAGTAAAAAAAAAAACACATTTTAAAATGTATTTTGGTAACTCTTTCCAACTTTCCAACCACCGTGTTGATTTATGAATTTGTCCCAGTATAAACGGACCTGCAAATACCATCTACAGTTAGTTCTCCCTGAAACACTGTTGCTATATAAATGGAATAAATTATGTGCTATATCTTCATTGACGGAGCATCTATAGCATTGTAGGCAAGAGAAACCCAGCATGCACAACAGGTGGATGCATACAAAAACCCTGCTTGAGTGCTTTGACGTATGCTGGAAACATGCCTTATTAAATAATAACATGCACCTGCCTATGAAATAATCCATTAAATTACTTAAAGTACATGGCAAAAAAATGTACTAAATATAGCTTGATGTTGCATACATTCATTTTTAATAGACGATGCATTCATCAATAATTAGATGAGCCGTGATGCCATGTCTAACAAAAGTATATTTATTGTGCATTATATTTTTGAAGATTAGTATAAATAGAAAGCAACTAAGTGTTTTTGTATTTAACAGCTCATACAGAGCTGAAATCTTTGCCTTTCTTCTATTTCATGGCCCCAGGGCTGTTCCATAGGCCCCGAGGAGCCATGCATGTAAAAAAATAAACTAAAACACAGATCTTTTTGGAAACCAAAACTTAAAGTCTGACCAGTTATTGGTGGGGATGGATATGGCCACATACAAGACATGGTGACCTGTAACTATATACATCAATGTATATTTCATTAACATTTAAGCAGGGCCACACTGCCACTCATGACCTAATGTACAAGGTATTCATTTCAAGTCTGTAACATGTTGTATAAGTAAGGAAATTTAAACAATTAAAAATATTTTTAAGGGGGAAGGGGGTCACCTTATATATTGACTAAACAGATATCTAAAGTCTAAATGACTGTAGTGCACAAGGGTCAGACATATGTAGCAGAATACACAACATTTTCTGATCAACCTACCAACTTATATCATATACAGTAGGAAAAATCTAAAATTCATTCATTTGGGCACTTACTACCCAGAATAGGCCGTTCATGCCAATGTTTTGTTTACGGTTAATTTATTCTGATTACTTCTGATGTCCCTCCCACAGAAAAAAAAACGTTAAAAACACAAGTATAAAATAACATGTACTCTACATGTTAGTGAAGGAATTTGACTTACACCCTTCACTAGGACTAACCTGTGCTCTTATCCATAAGCCCCAGAAGGTGGCAGCAAAAGTACACATTCATTCTTCAATTGAATGACTTTGCTGTCTGCCTTTTCCGAAGCATGGAAAGTGAGACTACTAATGTTGAAATTGAGCGTGGGGCGTTAAGGAAAGCACTTGCTCCTTAAGAAGCCTTAATTTATGTATTCTGAATTTATGTACAGAATTAATAGGGCATCATTAATTTTACACCATAAATAATAAAGACAGCCAGCAGTAACTCAACAATAACAGCACCAGTGATTGATTAGAAAATGGTCCTCCTATTATGCCATCTTCAAACTCAAGGTTGTGAAATGAGCTGAAAACTGCAACAGCGTCAGCAGAGAAGATGCTTCATGACTGGAGGAACCCTCAGTCAGTAACTATATTATATTAGACCTACCTTAGCTCTATAGTCTATTATTATAGTCAGTGGGTGGGGGCAGTTGGGAGACTTATGTTCAAGTTTGACTACAGCAGTTCCTCAAAACTAATAGACTGGATACCCATAACATGCCTAAACTGGTGTGCAGCTTGTCAGCGATCTCCTGCAGATCCAGACGTTTCTCTCTCTCTCTATGAAAGGAACATCTAAAACTTTTTAATGAAGGTACCTGGTTGTGAGCCTTGTCGCTCCAATTGGTGAAGGAGAAGTCCTCCAGAGACGGGCAGATGGAGCTTTTCTCCTGGGCTTGCTGCAGCCCGGCTGCAAAACCAGACAGCGAGATAAATCGGACAATCAAGAGCAACAGACTGGAACAGCAACTTGCAGATGATGTAACCTGGATCGCCAACAGACGCCAACTCTCTTCCAGAGACGGACTGAGACAGGGAAATCCGTGTCTGAGCGAAAGCCATGGGTGTCTTTAAGCACATCTGCTATGAGCTAGCAGAGAGCTCAGGGTCTGGGAGACAGGCAGGGAAGAGGTTTTATGGGATGGGAAGGTCATTACCTGTGAAGGGGGAGGCTGGCACCTGGGCTGGGGGAGGTGGCTGGCAGGGGGTCCCGGAGGAGAGTACGACAACGTCAGAGGGAAAGCGCAGCTCGCTGGAGCAGTCCTCGCTGAACAGGACTGACAGGAACACCCCGGCTGTGCTGGTCTCATCAAACGAAGACGCCATCTTCTGAAACATGGGATCTACCTGCGCCCCCACATAACACAAGCACGCCATCATACCCCTCTCACCGAAGTATCGCAAACCACAAAAGAATCAAATGCAACCGCCAGACCTACCAGTTACTATGACAAATAGATCAAGTGATTCCATCTGTGTGCACTTAAACAACTGGCTATATAAGACCCGCCCATGTGATACTCCGATGCACAGTCTTAGTGATTTATCCTAGTCTTGGCATCCTCTGTAAGTTTACCTTGCTCCCGACCGTGCCTTATTCAACTTCACCTTTTGAGTTTCCCTCTAGATTGTTTAATCTGGTTTTGGACTGCACTGCTCTCTCTACAACTACATTTAAAGATTCCCTTTGGTACTTTATTTCAAGTCTCCTTGGCTTTGACTCTTGTCTGTTACACTGCTTGTTCACTCGCCTAAGCATATTCGTACTTACCTGCACTTAGATCTACCCTTCAGCCTCAGACAGCTGCGATTTAATAAGTAAGTGCAGCCTATGACGAATGCATGGCAACTGAAGGCAAGCAAAACTGGAGAAGATACCAGCCTGCAATACTGCACAGATTCCTTTGCCAAGACAGACACCAATAACTAAACAGCAGAGCAGAAATCCACTCTGGCATAGCAAATACTCAGGCAGCAGCAAGCTGAATCTCTGGATAAGACTTCCTCACATCTGTTTTGTAATGCTGCACCTCATCTTTGTTACCCATTGCAATCTGCTTCTTTCTGTGGGGTTCCTAGCAGAAAGTATTGACCACAGCTTTATTCTGATAGAATAGAATGTTAAAAGGCACATGAAGAAAAAAACCACATGAAACCTGTGCAGTGACCTGGTGTGAGGTGAATGTCCTCATCAATGATGACAGTACAACCCAGCAGCTTCCTGCCCCTATATGCTGGAGCCACAACAGTCTCAGGAGGCCTTTGTGGCCATGCAGAGGCCTCCAGTATGTGTGCTTATGTTCCCTGTGCTCCAATCGGAAAAGCCTACCAAATTTCAATCGCCCTGCACACGCCAGTACCTCGTGAAACGTACTTGAAAAAAAGTCAAGTGGGGAAGAAAAAAAAACAGTTCTTCAGGATGACTTCTTTCCACATTTTCTTAAAAAAAGAAACCCTCATTTTGCATTGTCCCTACCTCACACTTCCTCTCGGACTCGGCGCTGTTGATGTTGTTGAGATTCTGCTCCACAGTCTTCTTGTTGGGATTCTTCTTCTTCACCACCTTTTTGGGTACTTCTGGGTCTGTGCTGTTCTCCTCCCCGTCCTCTGGCTCTTTTTCTGAACAGATTGAAAAAGCACATGTTTTTCTGGGATAAAACCAGCGTGGTTTTAACAATCTCGCGCACCAGTGTCTGCTTAATCCAGGCTGTTCTGGAACAGCTCACTCTGCTGGTTAACTGACTGGAAGCCTGACTTCTCAATACCTTGCACCTAAGTAGGTAGAAATGTATTTGTACTTTTCCACACATTCGTGATGCTTGAAATTACACAAACATGCCATTAATTTACCAAGAAAATTAAAATGCTGTTAAATGCTTGAAACAGATTGATGTACTTTACAGATTTAAAGAACTTAGATAATTTTTTTAACAAAACTTCTGTTTACAAGGGACCACACTGTGCCACGTGTACTGCTACGACGTGTGTTTGGTAATGTACAAGTGGTGCCTGTGGCGTGAACAGGGAAATCTTCACTCTCCCTCGGCTAGGCTCTTGTAGAAATGTAAGCAAGGTTACAACCTAGAGGCCATTCAACCCATCTGTTTTGTAAAAACCAGCTCATTGGTCCATGGAGCTCATCCAGCCACTTCTTGAAAGAATCCAGGATATCGGCTTCAACAACATGGCTGTTTATCTTGCTCCACACTCCCACAACCCTTTGGGTAAAGTCATGCCCCCCCCCCCTTGGTTTTAAATACACTTCCACGTAGTTTCACTTGTGTCCTCACCATCTGCCTGCTTCATGTCGGAGCCCAGTCCTCCCAGGACTCTGTAAGTGTCGGCGTGGACAGCGTCCACCCTCACTGAGTAGATCTTTGTGCTGGCATCCAGGGTGCCCGCTGCCACCTGGGCAAAAAAGGAAAACATAGGTCAATCATGAAAAACCAGGCAGCTGTTCATTTATGGTCTCCTCTTTGACGGAAGGGACATCTTATGAGAAAGGAAAACAATTCATGGGATTTTAAAGGAAAAGTACCGCACTCACCTTAAAGTTTGTGAGCTCAGTCTCCTTCTGCCTGAGAATTTCTGACATGTAGTCGATCAGGTGAAGGCCGAAGGCATTCTTTGTGGTGATTTTCTATGAACAGAGAACACACACCGAGGTGTTGAATCCATGTGTTTATAGAACAGAAGTCCAAACGAGCTGACTTAAGGGCACATACATTCTTAAAAAGGACTGTTTCAAACTTCCAACAAGGAGTACTGAATCAGAGTTCAATAATCATGATAGTGCTGAATTAGTTTAGTAATTATTAATCAGATACTCTGGGGTTATTCTGTCAAATTTAGGTGCAGTTATTGTCAAGCTATCCACAGACAGTACTGTTTTGGGTAGAACAAAAAATATATTTAGGGAGATTTCCTTTAAGTGAACATAGTGGCCCTCACTGCCATAAGAACCTGTGAAAACAAGCACATCATCAGTGACTCTCTACTCACATTCTCCGTAGAAAGCTTGATGCAGGTGGAATAGTGCTCAGAGATCTCGGAATTGGACAGTTTGGGCACTGCAGCTGGAGTACCTGTACCACTGAACACATTCCGAGAAACAGAACAGAATTTTACCACAACATAAACCCCTAACATGAACATGCTGGAGAAACCAAAGAAGAAAATTTCTGTTGCAAATTCATTTTGCTTTAAAAACCTTGTACACATCTGAGAGGCTCAGAAATATATCAGAAAGACAAAGGGTCTGGACACCAATCTGTCTCCCCAGGAGATCTCTTTGATCTTTTGATCAGGCTGCTGAGTGAGGCTATATACACTGGATCCCTGCATGCAATGTTCAAAGAGCAGCGCTACC